CTAATGTATGTACTTTCATGGTTATTGCAAACTTGCGTTTATTCGGGCGGGTGTGTTTCGAGTGGTCAACAGTGGTATGTCGCTTTCTTTAGAACGTGCCTTACCTGTGCAGCTCATAAATCATGTTATCGGGTAATAAGGAAACTTAAGTTACTGTAAAGGGTTGTTTTTTATTACCATTTCAAATTACAAATAAACAGTAGTAGTTACTATATTAGACACAAGTCTAGCTTAAAACTTGTAATATTGAATAAAATAGGGAAGACACTAGTTGTTCCCTCTAGCAGCAGGGATATTAAGCGAAAGAGGAAGCAAGCTTTCACGATTCAGAAAGCCAGAAAGCGTCGCGTCTCATGAAGCATTGGCGAAATTTGCCAATTAACTCGCCTCCTGCAATGTGTAACAGGAAGTAAAATTGCGAGTGAGAAGGTGGCCGCGAATTTTCCTCGGTCGGTAACTCTAGCCGCTAGTATATAGCAAAGTCCGCGGACCGCAGAGCGATAATAGACGCTGTGCTTAATTGCATTTTATGCTATCGTAAAATGCCACGATCCCGGTGCCGAAGACAGGCCGATGAAAGCGGAGCAAATGTGGTCAGCCGCAGGTTCCTGTAACGTAACACCGTGTGTCGGTATAAGAGCCGAAAAAAAGAAATGGAAAGAAGAAAACCTGACCATGGTTCGAAAAATCGATTGCAGACTTTTTTGCCGCAAGAAACGTTCGATCCACTCGAAGTATGCCTTCTAATAAGAAAACGACAGCTTTAGTAATTGTGGTTCTTCTGTGGTAATCCTTCTTTCATGGAAACGGTCTCTGCAGGATCAACCTTGGAATTCTAACCTCTTAACATGATTGGATCATTTAATTTATAAAAAAAGAAAAATAGCATTAATGTTGTACAATTTCCGCAAAATAGCAAGTGGAAAACTTAATTTGCAAAATAAAATGGACGTGTGCTGTAGTTGCTGTTATAAAATGTCTGACTACACATGGCCATTTTCACTGTGGCAGTTAAAGGCTAGTTTGCATTAAATAGAATAAATAAGACTGGTATGGTGAACTCAGTGATAAATGTCGGTATGAAGAAAAATTCAATTACTATACTCGTGTTATTTTTTCCCAATTATTTACCCAAATATAGCAAATGGATTTTTCCTTACTGTACCATTTATTCTACCAATGTAAATTAGCACTCCTTTTTGCTATCTCAAAATAGCTGTTTTATAACCAACAATAAGTACAATTAAAATTAATTATAATACATAAAAACAGCTTTGATTTAGTGAAATCTAGTCGAAAGTGGTGGGATGATGTAACAGCAGTGTGAACTTTTAAACAATGAATGACGTGTCTTTTTATCATTGACCCACTATGAGAAAATGAAAAGATTTATAAAATACTATTGTAAAGAAAGAATAACTAATCATAATCAAATCAGAGATTCGGTGTCGTACACTGTTCCAACATCAGGTTTGCGAATATTAATTAATGCAAATACGAAAAAATCAAGGAAGTAACACAGTGAACCAGGAGGAGTGATGAGTCGAGAACAGCTACCGTGTTTAATACCCAACTTTTATTGGCGCAATTAACATGAGAGCGTAACACAGAACGCGGTATCGCGTTCCGGCTACGAGTAACAGGAAAGAAAGCGGATCTCCGCATTTTTATGAAAATTTATGCACATAGCGGCGAATTCGGCCTGTGCAACGACCATGCGTTTTATTTCCATTATTGAAATAATTCTTTCCTTATGAATAGCCTGTGAAACATGAGCAGCTTTCGGTCTTAACTCTTACCTTACTGGGTTAGCATTTTCTTTTCGATAAGGCATCTTCTGCATGCTATTCTATTTTAATTTGAAATTTTTTCAGGTATTTCTGATATAATAGGTACTGAATTCCATAAGCTAAAAAAGAACGTAGCATGACTATAAATAGTTCCTGGGAAGACTGGTGTTTTTACAATTATCGGGTGATTCGAGTGTTGGTTTTATACTTGGTGTGGGCGCGGTTGTATTGAGTAATCATCGTATTTCTGGTCGTGTACAAACAGATAGTGAACTAATTTCACAGAATCCTATCTTTAACTGGTCGAAAGAGCTGCAGTGATCGAAGCTAGGAATTTTATTTAATCAGATAATCTGTCTTTTGTAAATATTATTATATTGATATTTTCATTTATGAAATAAATAACTGGTAAGAGCTAGGAATGGGCCTGGCCCCCCCTTGAAATTTGGGCTGATCCCTTCCCTTTATTTAATCAGATAATCAGTCTTCTGTAAATATTATTATATTGATATTTTCATTTAAGAAATAAATAATTAAGATCAGTGGGTTAATTATTATGAAGGTAGATTTCTAGGTAAGGGCTAGGAATGGAAATCCTCTTGAAATTTGGGCTGATCCCTTCCCTTTATTTAATCAGATAATCTATCTTTTGTAAATATTATTATATTAATATTTTCATTTAAGAGTAAAATAATTAAGATTAGTGGATCAATTATTATAATGGTAGATTTTTAGGGAATGGCTAGGGGTGAGCCTGGCCCCCCTTAAAATCTGGACTGACCTCTTCCCTTTATTTAATCAGATAATCTGTCTTCTGTAAATATTATTATATTGATATTTTCATTTAAGAATAAAATAATTAAGATCAGTGGGTCAATTATTATAAATGTAGATTTCTAGATTGGAGCTAGTAGTGGCCCCTCTCAAAATCTAGACTGACCCCTTCTCAAAATGTGAACCTTCATCATTCTAAAATTAGAAAATTCTAATCTGGAGTGAAGATGGCATCGAATTCGAACCTCCTTGCAGAATATACTTGGATCCCATCTGTACCGTGAAGGCACAAAGCTCCAACCTGAAACCCCGCGTATTAAACGCGGTATACTCAGTGCCTAAAGTATTGATGCACACAGGGCGCAGATATGTAGGAAGTGATTCCTATCGTGCAGTGTGAAATTTATATGGAAAAATCTCGAAGAAGACCAACGATGCTGACGGTCAGGGCCGATGAGCATCGGTTCAACGATCGTTCCGCGAGCGGCTCTTGATTTATGCTAGCACCACCTACATAATTCATATCGCTCAGATACAGTAACAGTTCGAAGGATGTGTGAAGCCTTCGTGGCAGGAAGTTTTGCTTAGGATCAACAACGATCTTGGCCCGCTTTCTCTTCTTCACTAATGAACAAAGCGATTTGCATACACCATTCTCTGATTAGTAATTGTCAGTCCTTTCTATTGTTAGGATGCTTTTAGGAGAAGTCTTGGAATTTATTTTCCATTAGTGTTATTCAAGACATAAGTAGATCCAAATTTAATTTTGTGATGCCACAATATTGGTAAAATAATGTTATATCCATTGGTGTAACTAGGAAGACGTTTGAAATGTTTCAACGTCATCTTCACTTTTTAAAATAGAACTATGTACTCTATAGGTCAATCGAAACGTCCTTGTATTTTCTACAACAAATTATTAAGGCACTTGGGTCGAAAATTAATTAGTTTAACATGTATCTTAGGGAGAGACCTTCAATTTCTCCCAGTCTCTCCCTAAGATGTCTTCTGGATCGATGAATTTTCGACCCAAATACCTTAATATTTTTCTATAGAAAATTAAGAAACTCTGTTTTTAAATGTAATACATAAAATTTTAGGCGCTATTTATTGATAATCCACATGACGGTGAAATGTATTAATAAAAATATAAACATATAAACGATATATGAAATCACAAAGGTCATAAATTCGATAAAACACGCAGTCATCAAAGTGTTAATAGTTTTCTCGAGTTTTTATTTATCTTACTGTGAAAAAAAAAAAATTGATTCATCAGATTATCACATATACATAGTTTAACTTGTAATTACATAAAAATCAAACACGTGCTTTGATTTGACGTTGCTTCAAGTAATTGGAATCATAATTTTCTCTTTTTTTCTTCAATTTTTATAATTACAGTATTTCTACAGCCGTAGATGATTGGCAGTAGTTTCTTGAGGAATTATTAAAACACGAAGCGGTTATTGTCTGTGCCGGTTTTTTTTCCTCTGTTCGAAAAGTTTGTATAAACGGATCAGGTAGAAGCTAAGTATAAATAATATAGAATAAAGGAAACTGGTGTTAAGACAACCGTCTATTGTTCAACCGCTGTTGCATTATCGTGACGCATGTAATCCAATATTTCCTTGTAATTTAAACTGTTCTCGTCTGTAGCTGCGTATTGCACGATGAAGAGGTGATTTCTCACCGTGATGTTGCCACCTTCTCTCGTTGCAGTTTCCTTTCGGTTTGCTCCATTTTGGCAAGAGAAAAGTTTGAAAAAAGAAGAGAAATGAGATCAATTCAAAAAAAATGTAAAGAAAATTCTGGGATACTTATCAAAGGCTCTGTTTTGTGGTTGTATCAACGGTACGCCCTTTCCAACTAGTTTCGTATCAATCCATCAGAAGCAAAGCCGACTGTTAAAGTCTAAATTACTTCGAAAATCAGCCGGGAGCGTAGGAACGATGAAGCGCGGGCAGGAATAATCTAAATCTAGGTGGAAAAGCTGAAGGAGAATTAATGATGGAAAAAGGGGATGGGCGAATGCTTTCCGTCGCAATGAAGTCAACGACGCGAACGAAAGACCGAACTCAGCCAGCACGAGACGAAACGGTCGGGGTAAAATAGGAGAAATACGATGGGGTGAAGAAGAGGGTGGGATGGAAACCTACGCAGACGTGGCGCAGGTCATTGCACTTGCATTTAGCCACGCACATTCAGAGAGAGATTCAAAGACTTTTGCAAAGACTTCTCGCTAAACTTTTCTTCTAATTGATAAGAAATTGCAAAAAATTGTGAATTTCACTGTGGACCAGTTGTTCTTTCTAGTTGGCAACCAGCCATTTGTACTAAGAATATTAACCGCGGTGTTATGTAGCCATATTTGGCAAACTTGAAACTTTTCATTAAATTAACTCCATTCTAACGTTGTCAATTTCTTCGTTTCAGACGTCGGATTGAATCGCGCCCACCACATCCTGCTGCAGTGGGCAAAGTACGCAGGATCAAAGGATAACATCACGGTGATCGTGGTCCTGTTAACGCCAGCCAGCGAAATCGCAGCAAGGCCCAGATACGTCCATCCGTACTACCTTCCGAAAGTGAATGATATACTGGAGGAAATGAACTCGAAGGATAAACCGGTGCAACGGGACATCGAGTACGCGCACAACGCGATCAAGTCGAACGTCCTTAAACAGACGATGATCTCGCAAGATCCGTGCGATCACGAGGACGCCGACATCCTGGAGGCGAGCAACGGGAAACACGAGAACGGTGACGCTGACTATGACTACTCGGACCTGGGACCGGAGACGAACGTCGACGCCATCGACGACGTCCCGACGATGACCGTGAAAAATCTCTCCTATGAATTCTACAAGAACAACGACGACGACGACGACGACGATGACGACGACGACGACGATGACCACGGACTCGACAAAGACTCTAACCTCATGGACGACATGGACGTTGACGAATCGACCAACGACGTTGCTCGTCATCCGTTCATGGATAACAATCTGCACGAACACGAGGACGAAAACGATGAAATTATTGCACCCAAAGTGGTCCAGGACGAAGCTCCCGAGAGGATCGACCAGGAACTTCGAGAAGAAATAAGCAACGAAGTTCGTAGATCCTTCGAAAAGAATCTGGATCAAGAAGAAGTGTTAATTAAGAAAGACGATCAGATTGAGGATTCGCGGGATGCGGTGGACGAGGCTGGACCGATAGACTATGACGACTCTCCACCATCGCCGCAGGCTAACAGTAAGTGTGAAATACAAAGTAAGCCGCGTTTCTATGAACGGTCCGTGCCCTGTTGGATCTTCAGGTGCGCCTATCTGCTAGGCAAGTTTGTTTTCCTCAGTTTCGTCTCCGTATATGATTTTTCAAACTTTTGAACTGAATTCAGGGGATTCTTTGGATCAATTTTTTATTATTACTCGAATGATTCAGGTTGGCTTATTATTCTAATCAGAAATTGATGAAAAATATAGGTCATAGGGCACATCGTTTGTAAATAAGAAATAAGTCTTACAATTTCTGAAGTTTGCAAAGTTTGATAGGAGGAGCAATTTTAGGGTGCCAGAGGGTTAAGAGATTGTCTTATCACTGACTTCTGTCGTTAGTTTTATAGGAATAGATACAGGCACTAAATTAGAAATTAATTCATAAATCTTTCATTAAAAAAGAGAATTGAAATTCTTGAATCGATAAGGTGATATGTGAGGACATCTTCAGGACCTTTCGAAAATTTCAAGTGTAATAACTTTCCTCCGTTCAGAAATACTAATATCAAACATGGGACGTTCAAAGTGTTGCCCAGTTCTTTATATCGGAGAGGCCCACTTTCCGTTGCCTTCGGCTTTCACCACCTTGTGCCAGTCACTGCACTTCCTGCACTAATTGTCATCCACCTCACAAAACTGCCAGTCTTTATCCTAGACCGAGGCCTTTTTTTTTACTGCTTCCTTTCTTGAGACCATTTTTTAGAAATTTCATGTTTGATTTATTGGAGGATGACTTTGCATCATTCGATCAATCTTCCATGCCAATCTTCTATTACCTATTTTAACATATTCATATAAAAAAAAAGATGCAATTTGGTATAAAGTGTTTTCTCAAAAAACGTTGAGAAACACGTTTGATAGATAGGTAAGAGAGTAGCGGAAACCGGCGATAGCAGTAGGCCTAACAGTACTTGCACTTCCGGTTTATCTTTCGCGAAACGCACGGTTTTCGTCCGAGCTATTCTCGAGCGAATTCCCATTAAGGAATCTCCCATTGGGTTGTGATAAATGTTATTAAAAGGTTCTTGAAATAAATTCAAATAATGGTAAAAGTCTGGGAAGGATATCAGGGGAGAAAAAAAGAGGGTGGTTAAGAATTGTAATAATTCTTTCGTCAGAACATTTAGAGTCGAGTTTGGAGGGGAACACGAAACAGAATATTTCGGTTGCTGTGCAACAGAGAAACATTACCAAGTGTTTTCTTCGAAGCTGTGTGCGATATTAAAAAAGGAGAAGTGTCGTGACACTTACGTGCCAAAGAAGCCACGTATGCTGCTCATGCATGCGCGTAGTTATTCACTGTACCACGCCCCTCTTTTTCCATCCATCTAAATTTATCTGGGCATGCAGTCGCAAGGTCGATTTACTTCTACTGTAACCTGCACGAATTTTCTTAACATTTAATTAGCAATTTTCAATTAATCATTGGTTGTGTTTCTGAGAGAAAATCAAGTTTCACTGAAAATACCTCTTCATTGTTTGTTAATTTCTGGGTTACAGCAAATTTTCTTTTCAAAAGTGAAGAAAAATCGTTTTTAGAAACAAAATTCTTATATTTATTTGTATTTTTATTAAAATTATAAATAGCAACGTGTATTGCAATTACAAAGTGTTTTAACATAATTTTAAGCTTTGAAATATTATTTAGGTTACTTTTAGAAGAGAAACTATTAATAGGATCTTATAAGTATTTCACGTATCACCACTGATAATTGTTAACACGGCGCGCGTGCAAAATTCTCCTTTAAATTTACCGCCAGACAGCAGAAGAATCTCGAATTGTCGCTAACCAGCGCGATTGGTCTGTGTCGCTGGGACGCATTCCGATTGGTGCACGGCTCAGCAGGCATCGGCCAATCGCACGACGTGCCGCGTGGGTCGCCGGGAAGGGGGTTCCGGCAGTTGGCCTCTGAGCTTCGAGCGGTCGTGAGTGTTTGTCGGTTTACGTCGTCATTGTGGTGTTTTCGTGGTAAAAACGTAGTTAAATTCGTGCACAGTGACTTCTGATAATAAATTTGAACTGTTTTCTCTGAAACGTGCGTTGATAAAGCATTTCGATCAAGCTCTATCGACGATTTCGTAGCAGTCAGTGCCAGCGAGAGAGCGTTCTCTAAAGGTACGTTAATCGAACCGACCATGAACGGTCTAGTAGCAAATTTAAATTTGGAATGGATGCCGGCCGGCATTAAATTTTCGCCGGTTGATTTCGTTTCATTCCTCAGATTTCTGATAGCCTTTTCGACGCTTTTCTAGAGGAATGACAAAAGAGTTGATCCGATGGTCAGTCGATTGTTGCGACGTTCGTTTGTCCGCAAAACCGTCTCGACGTTTTCTTGTTTGCCTCGCGAGAGGGCCGGCTTCGTCACGGGCTTGGCTGGATTTCTCAGAAACAAATTCGAACGGTTTCGCGTTGATGCCTAGCCAACATTCGTGATTCTTTTTGTTCGAATATTAATCGAAAGTGAAGAAATCTATTTTTCGTTGTTGCGCATTTCAACGTTCGTTCGATCTCCAGTATTCTCCAGTATTTTGGAGGACAAGCATTCGTATAGTGATATGCGCGTTCCTAAAATGATTCGTATAAAAAGTTCGACTATATATGTTATTCCCTTCTCCGCGACGATGTATGCTACGCACATTTGACGTGTGCATGAAACGCAGGTATGTATTTGCGTTTCACGAATTTGCAATGTTTCGAAATCATGCCTCACCGAAATTATCATACGCTTAGTTCATATTTAAACTCGAGCTTGTTGACCTCTCAACAAAATAATACAAGCTAATTTGTTCTGTGCAAAAGTATACAATTTTAAACTGAAGTCAATTTCGTTGAATTAATATTTTGTTAACATGAATTTTGATAAGTTAATGATTAAATTATATCGCTGAATTTAATAGATCTATTAATTGATTAATTTCCTTTGGAATTTGATAAAACTTACATCAAATTAATAAACGTACGATGTTGACAAGTTTCAGCCAAGAATGATTCATTGCTGGTTGTTATTTTGATATCCATCAGAGTAGAGATAATTTTAGGGAATATTACGTATCACAATGATTAATATTGTTCATAAAATTTTTATTAAAATGCACTAGATGAATTTAATTGCACTTCAAGGAAAAACATTTCATATAGAGTAATAGGTTTTCCCTGTTAAAACGAGGAGCAGAGGAGGGATTCCCCCACCAGACCCTTCGTTTCTCGCAGTTCAGTGCGGAGGGGTAGGTGTCTACCCCTCGTTTCCTCGCACCTAATAAATAAAAGGGAATCTGACCAGTGGTGGGGAGCTCCTGCCTCCATATTTCCCCTTAACCTATAGAAACCAAGCATACACGTGACTGTACGTGCTTTATTGCAAAAGTAATGAGACTGCAGGCTGTACAATAGCGATTGAACTACATTTGCCTTCCAGAATCTAAATTTTCCCATTTTTCACATAACCTATTATTGTTTGTCTATATATCACTATCTATGAACTTTACTGAAATATTCCAGTTGCTTACGTCTTTAAACAGTTTAATTGATAAGGAGTAATTATTAGATAAATGAGCGTGGATTAGCGCGTCACGAAAGTTATACTGTAATACCTGTCGATACATTTTGTTGCTCCAAAATATAATTTTATTTATGCACAGTACCACGCACAGTCGACCTCCCGAGGGAGAATGACAATGTACAATATCAATCATAGTGTCCGTTCGTTTAGTGTATTTTGTAATTTCAAATAAATTATTGAATATTCTAAAGCTTTTATCAGATGATTATGTTAATTATTTTAACGCTTTTATTAAATAATTAGATTTATGATATTTGCTGCGGTTAAACTTGGACTCCAAAGTCAGTGCTTTTTCACTAGACGAACGAACAATATGATTGATATTGTAGGAGAGGTGATCCCGCATATAGGAGTCTGCCCCTATCACTTGCGTGTAAATGTTTACGCGTAAAAATTTGAATTTGTTTTATTATTCATATATTTAGCTATACATATTAAACTCATAATATTTAATAATTGAAAATATTATTCTTTTTCTAAATTACTTTCAATATTAATATCTTCAAAATTAAAATTTTTTAAATTTCCCTATAGCACCATTTTCTCTAGAAAACCTACCATACTCGTTACTGTAATGGAACAGCTTACGTATCTAAAAGTCAATACAGATAAAATTTTGCAGTTCATTTTGAAGCGTAATCAGGCCATTTTGAATGCGAGATTATTCAATATCACATTATTCATTGTTTAAGTATCAGAAATGCATAGTTGGAAATAGAAATGCAGAAAAATGACGGTAGATTTATAAAACACATCTAAGTGTCGGATCTTTTTATCGTTTCACCCGTATTTATATTCTGCATTTTAGCTTACATGCTTGGATAATTAGCGTTTGCGAGCATAATGAATAGGGGTTTCCGCCTTCTGTTGCCAAGTACATTTTTCATATTTCCAGTGCACGTGGTTACAAACAGAGACATTTCTGATAAAGTAAACATGGAAATTGCAAGTGAAAAATTACTAGATAAAAAATAATTAAAAATCTTTAAAATACATTTTAGTTATTAACTTTGAAAAATAATATCGCCTCAATAAAGATTAGAAAATTCACGTCTCTTCTATATGACTGAGGTAAAATACTTCTTCAATCCATCATTTTTTAGTGGTAAAAAGGTTAAAAATTTACTAGGTTATATTAACACGTTTCATTTGATATCGCTTACACTCTGACAGTGGCCGCCCTAACGAGAAGCGTGTTAACGAGTTAAAAGAAAATTCCAAAATGTTAAGTACATAAGAAACAGGCGCATAGGGTATGATATCACATAATCATAGTACGGGGAAAAAAGGGAAAAAAAGTAGTCGACCGTTAAGGGTTAAAAGGTTTAAGTACCACCCCTCCGGGAATGCGTTATATAAGCAGCGTTCACGGTTCGTGCTACTAACCGTATTTTACCGTATTTAAAGCTCGAAAAATGTACCGTCTATCGTTCGATTTTTCTTGTCACAATATTAACGACACCCTGTTTTTCTCTCTCTCTCTCTCTCTCTCTCGCTCTCGCTCGCCAACATAATTGGATGTAAGCTAGGAGGCTTACCTTAAGACTAACCCTATCGTCGAGAGATACTTGGACGCGAAACACGTGTCGTAGGTATACTTACTGCAACGACCGACGGTTTCTGTTAAATAGTGGAAAAATTATTTCTTATAGGTACCAACCGTGAAACCAGTATAAACAGGGCACAAAATTTTATTAATTAAAATATTGAGTCTTCCTTTCTTCATTTTTGTTTATTAAGCAATAGAAAGCTTTGATGCACTAAACTTGAAAGCTTCAAGGTTAAGGCTTATTTTTAATGTGCGATATTCTTTGTGGTAAGCTATTTCCTGTAATAATACTTCAGCTCAGATACGATATTACAAAATCAGTATTCTAATTTTATTAAGAATATATTAGGTGTAATTAATATAATTAGTTTATAAAATTCGAATTTAAAAATATTACAAATCGCACATTTTTCTATATTGCCATTTTCCCCGGGGATATCTAGGGATAAAGCCAGGGATCCATTCACCTTTTCATTTGCAGTCGAACGTTGTAATTTATTTATTTTCTATTTGCTTAGAACAATTATTTCCTAAACGGTGACTTTCATCCTTATCTAATCTATAATATATCTGATCGAGAAGCCTCGGCTCGATAATACTGCAATTTCGAATCGTGCTTTAATGCAATTCGACACTGAATTTGTCATGCGTTATTAAGTCCACGGCTATTCTCTGTCCGTGGAATTCCATACTGTGCATCGAATTGCATTTATAAGTCAGGTGCAGTTGGGAGGAACTGGGCTCTGAATAGCGGCAGTCTTGGTTCGTTTTTTTTTTTTTTTTTTCTTATGTCTCTTTCGCTGCTGTCTGCTGTCGCAGAGTTAAAATTAGCTCCTCTTTGCTCTCTATACGTTGCACCCTGAACCGATATTTGTTGCACGGTCAAAATTAAGAAAAGAAAAAGAAAAATAAAGAAAGAAAGTGACATGGAGGAAAAAAGAACATACGTTAAGAATAAGAGGGATCCTCTTTCGGGGTGAAATCTTCAAGCTTGCTTGTTTTTCTTTCGCTTTTTTGCTTCTTCGATTCGTTCAGTACTCGTCACGGGATATTTTTCAAGATAAGGGCTTTGGTTCTTTTCAAATCTTAAAAGGACCCTCAAACGATAAATATACAATGTATTACTGAACGTAAAAAAAAATTACCATTATTTAACCAATTTGGTCGGTATCTTTTTCATTATCTTGTCTTTGAGTGATTCTTTCTTTATATGACGCAAGGGGTGCGTCGTCTGTTACATATGACGCACACGGTGTGTCTTCAGTTTTCAACGTGTTAGTAATATATAGCACAGCAAATTTCCTTTTCGTTATCTTGTCTCTGATTGATCCTCTTTTCTTATGACACTCGGAGTGCGTCAGTTATTACATAATATATGGACGCATAAGGTGTGTCATCTGTCTTCAACGTGTGTTTAACCATTTTTCTCGGAATGTAAAAATAGTATTTTAACCCGTGAATGTGAAAAGCATGTCGCGTCAAAACAACTCGGTAATTAAACAATTGTAAGAGTATTGTGAAAGGAATGCAACGAATAACACTGCGAATCGTGATTCGGAGAAGCAAACCGAGTGAAAAAAAAGCATTCAGGTTAAAATACTTGCAGCCAAGAGGAAAACTTCGTGGGAACAGAGATCTTGAAAGTTGCACGGGGAGATCGTTGGAACGGATTCGCGTTGGTGGTAAAGGAAGGTTAGAATTAGGAACGGGTTAAGATACTACGTTCTCCGCGTGGGTTGCCCTTTTTTTGGCATCCCTTTAAGCCTGTTTCTATGTACGTTTCTGGCATCTAGAAGCTTCGATTGCATAAAGCTGCTGCTTTTCCCCCCGGTATTTTATTACATAAATATTTAACAACCGAGTTAGCTTTGAAATTTTCTATCTGAGAATCGCTGGATGTGATTGTAGAAAGAATTTTACGGGCAGTTTTGTAGAATTATCGTTAGTTGGTGATAAGAATTTATTTGTGAAGCTGCTGGTCGCTTTTCCAGAAGAGATAATGGGGGTTTTATGGCACAATAGAGAGCCTTGTACTCTATCAATCTTTTTTCTAGAATTCCATAATCTTAGAGCTGCTACTTTCTATATTTTTTACGTACTTAAACGTTATGCAGGGTGTTCCAGAGTTTAACAAACTTTATAAATAAAAATAAAAATGTTACGTAAAGATAAGTCCTGAAGCATTGAAAAATAGAAAGTACGTTTAATTTTCTGTTTTGAAGTACTAGAAATGACATAATTTTTAAAAGAGTGTGAAATGTTGAAAGTACTAATAATAATGACTATAATTAGGTTAGAAATTAAATGTTTTAAGTTCAAAGCGTTTTAGTATAAGTATATTTGCATGATTTTGAATCAGTATCTATATACACAGAATATATTTACAGCTGTAACAATCATTACAAAAAATATTAATTTTTATTGAACTATTTAGTAGATAGATAGTGGTATTTATAAACTAGAATGCAACTGTGACCTGAAATAAACGATCGAACGAATATTTACAAATAAAATGTATTAATTTCAATATATCAGAGTTATAATTTTTTTTTAAATATTCGTACTCTCTTTCGAGTATCCCAGATTTCCTTTTACGTCCTTTTATCATGAAAATTTTCATTATTCATTAAATCACGGTTCGTTGCATTGTTCATCGGTTTCAGTTGCTTCTTTCACTTGTTAAAAATATAATGTTCATTAAAAAAAAATTTTCAAATATTTTTTATTCACTAATATCAATTTCACATTAATCATTACTTTATAGAATTACATAGAATATTTAAAAAATAGGATAAATGTCTCTAATTACAAATTTAGAAAACACAAAGTATTAAATTACTCGACACATTTTTTGTGCCTTGAAAACCACCCCTAAAATCAACTGAAATGATAGGATTGTGGTTAGTTTTAAAAGGGTTAATAGCATCTCAAACATTCAACGTACATGTGTACATACACCATCGATCATGCACCCTCTTGATACATTTCACAGCTAAAGGGTTAATAAATCCGCTATCACCCAAAAATTTCTGTTCTGGATCGTAACATCCCCTAACTCATTAATCGTATCCCCCTGAAAGTCAACCTGGAGACCCACCCCCGATTCCTGGAGAGGGGTGGGTCCATCAACGAACGACGATGGCAGCCAGAATGGGAGCATGGGGAAATTCATGGAACACCGGTTGCTCCGACATGAAATTCCCTTCACCGGTGGTAGGTAGTGATGTGCAGTCAAGACAAACACCATGAATTAATAAATAATACAATATTTTTATTTTTTTTTCTCCATCTCAATATTTAAGTTACAAATTACAAAATAAAAAATTCGAGGGGTAGTTCTATGGTGCCTTAAGTTACATATTTATTCTAGTAATTTAATTTTCTTTATATACATCGATAAAACAAGGGGTTAAATTTTAGTGTTTTAATATCTTTTTTTCCCTTGTCTAAGCAATAAAGAAATAATTCTAAAAACCCTTGGTTCCTAACAAGAATCATAAGAATAAAAGGCTTAGATTGTTAAGTTATGGTGTCTCAAGATTAATTTACCTTTCCCTATGTACACCAACATCAAAAATTTACTTTTTAGGATACGTAATCTTCTAAAGTAAAGATTTTGCGTGTATTTTAGTATCACGGTTTTCTCTGTTCCGACGTTTATGGTAAGGGTTGAAGGTGTTCATTTGTAATGAGTCAGCGTGGGTATTAGAAGTGGGGCTACATCAGGGTGAGTCAGGTTGTGGAAAGCAGCAGGAGCAACCGCAGGAGCGGCGTTCCTGTCGGAGATGAGGTGCGACTGTTGCTATACGGTACGGTACAGGTGGGTGGTGGCAGGTCCGTCGCGGAAGGGGGTGTTCCGGGGACCTCTAGACTAGATCGATAATGCATCTCTTGGCGGGCGTAGTTCCTCTTAGTCGGCGGTGATCGCTCCTGCCATTGGGGCCATATCCTACTCGTTTCCTGCTGAAAGTACGTGTGAGTAACCCGCGAGAGTATTGGCGAACCAATAAACGGAACCGTGTCCCGCTACAGAAACGAGTTTTAAGTCTTTGCTCGACAGGCCGGACGCGGTTTTCTAGCGTTTTTCTGCACCGGAGGAAAAAGGTGGTGTGCTGCGATCGAAAGTCAGAGGTAGAAGTGAATCGATTGCTCTCCGATTATTCTTTACTCTTTTTTTATCCTCCCTCCCTCCCTGCCTTCTCCCCTTTTCAACAGCATTTTCTCACGCGTTTCTTGGTGCTCCTTTTCCTTCCGACATTGAACAGCTTGGTTACATTCTTCGAATGTTCGTGGAACATCCTTCTGGTTTTTCAAGTGATTCTCAAGTGGTCAAACATGTGCAATCAGTATTTTGTATAGTGCTGTTTGTTAAATTTTTAGATTTCTAGAAAGGTGAAAATTAGAGACATTTATTTGGGGTATTGCATCAGTAGGGGTAGGTTGTGTCCATTGCAGGCACGTTACGAAGATTCTGCAGTGGTTCTGTTCGAAGGGGTGTCATCCTCATAAGAAATTCATTGATTCATTGTGAAATTTGTGGAAAAAGAAGTTATTAATTATGAATTAAAGAATAGTTGAGTTTAAATATATTTATTTTTTCCAGAACCTCTTCAGCATGCACTGATCCAGGAAGCGGATAATGTAGCGGACAGCGAGGATTCCGAGGACGAGTGGAATTACTATCGCGTCGATCCTAACAAGGAGAAAGATTCCGCTGCGCCCGTTGACGAGGTGCAGGAACCAAGGAACGAGGAGGACGAAAGTGAGAGCCCGAAACTTGCTGTAGAAGAAGAAAGCGAGTGTCCAAAACTTACTGTAGAAGAAGAAAGCGAGAGGCCAAAAATTACTGTAGAAGAAGAAAGCGAGAGTCCAAAACTTGCTCTAGAAGACGAGCCGAAAATCCAGTCTGAGAAAATAGAGGAAGAAATTAAATGCGAAGGTCCGACAGAGGAGTTACCGGAGCTTATTAACACAGAGGTACGTTTTCATTTTATTTTATTTTATTTTATTTTTTTTTTTTTTTAAACTATAAACTTTGGCTCTCATTTCTAATAAAAAATGCTTCTCATAAATAGATTAGCGCCCAGGAGGACAAAGCAAAAGAATCAGAATCAGAAGAAGAGAAAGAGGAAGAAAAAGAAAAAGAGGAGGAGGAAGAGGCCAAGCTTTCAGTAGAAGAACAAGACAAATCAAAAGCTATGGATTTTCCGCTGAATCCTGACGCGGCCGAGTTCGTACCAGTCTCGCCGCAGTTCACGGGAACACCGATGAATCTCGGAGATTTTCCCGTTTCTGGCTCACCTTTCAAGCAAGTCTCACAGATGGACGACATACAAGTGCCCACCCAGAGTGAGTTCGAGAAAGAAGTATGCCAGCGACCAAGGGAGGTCGAAAGCGAGGATAAAGAATACCAAAACGGGGACCAGGTTCAGCCAAACACCGATCTTGTGGACTACATGAACGATCGACAGAAGGCAGCTAGTTTCATCAACACTTTGGACGACTCTGAGATCTCGTCGACGAAGGCAGAATACGGCGACACGTCCGTCAGCTTTTTAACAACAACGGAATTTCATAGAACAGGGATATCCGCGGTGGATGAGTCGTTCTCGAGCTCCGAGCGCGACTATGACATCGCCAAAGACCCCATGGCTATGTCGTTCACACCTAGCGACCTTCAAGCGGCTTTCGATAATAAAAGTGTTGATCTAAACGCCGTTCACAATCTGAGCAATTCCGATTTGGATGAGAAGAACGGCAGTATGCAGAAAGAGGACGAGGAGGAGGAGGAGGAGGAAGAAGAAGAAGAACTTACGAGTAAATCACCAGAGCCACAACTTGGAACTGCGAATAATTTGGAATCCCACGAAGATGAACAACTACCGCGCGAACCAGTGGTCCCCGAAGAGTCCGCGGAGCTCGTGAACCTGTCCTTGCAACAAGAGGAGAGCGAAGCCACCTTCATCGAGCACACGGACAAACCACAGCCACTTACCGACTTTTTAAGCTTGCAAACAGAGTCTTCCCCGATTGAGCAACAAGAAATCTCAAAGGAAGATCATTCTCCTTTGACAGAGAATTATTCTGGAGAATTTGAATCGGAAAAGGAACCTATTTCCGTCGATAACGAACAACCTCTGTCGCCTTCCAGCGTCGACATAGATGAAACGAAGCCTATCGACGAGGCCAGCGAGGATGCCGCTCTTCCATCAAGCGATCTACAGAGGGAAGCTTCTACGAAAGAAACCAATACACCTTCCTCCTTGTCGCCAATCCCAGACGTGATAGACAGCGAAGTCCTGGCTTCGGTGGACGACACAGATATTTCTCAAACACTAACGCAGTTTTCGTTGCACGCGGATGCTCCGGAATTCACACCAAAGGAGCAGTACAACTACCACCTGTACGATATGGAAACTCGCGAAGTTTGTAGATCTCCAATAGAAACCGAAGACATTTGTCAAACATCACCCATGCAGGCTAGCGACGTTTATCAAGCACCTCCTGTTGAAAGCTGTGTGTATCAGCCATATTCTACGGAAGCTGGCGATGCTTTCGAAGCTAGCCAAAACTTGCAGCATTTCAGTGCGGATATCCAACCCGAAGAGAAAGAGAAGATCGTTGAACCCGTAGCCACAAAACCAACAGAAGGAAACTTGTTAGACTTTACCGAAGAACGACAAGAAGAGGTTTCTGTGAAAGATCAAATAGCGGGCGAGTTAACGCCACCTCTTTCTCCTCACGAAGTTGAAGATAAAGTGTCGGAAAACATGGAGGATCTCCTTTGTCCTATGCAGCCTACCAAACCAAAGGTTGAGGAAATCGAACCAAAGGAGGAGGGTCCGATGGAAGCAGATGTTTTGGAAACCAAGCCAGAGGAAGAAATTGAACCAGCAAAGGAAGCTGGTCTGAACTTGTCCGAATCCATGCAAGAATTCACTGGGCTGGAGCAACAATTACAGCCTAAAGCAGAAGAAGTTCCTGAACCGTGCGTTGTACCAGAAGTTCAAGAGGAGATCCCGCAGAAAGAGGAACCGAAAGAGCAGATAGAGCCAGTGCAGCAACCTGTAGAATCTATAGTCGTGGAAGGGGAATGCAAAGTAGAGGAGAAGAAGGAAGTTGAACAAATTCCTTCATTAATGCCAGAACCTGAAATAGAGAAGGCTGTAGAAGCCGTAGAGACTGTACCGGCCACTGAGGCTACGGAGACTGTAAAAGTCGAGGAAGCCTCGGAAAATAAAATTACAGAAACAGCTACGGTTGCAGCTGCGGCAGCAGCTGCAACCGCAGTCGTCGTGGCAGCTGCGACTACGACACAGAGCAAAGCGAAGACCAAAACTACCACTAAACCAACGAAGACAGCGACTTCAAAAACGACTACGTCGAAATCCACGCCGACATCTCCATCGAAAGCTGCAATCTCCTCGCCAAGAACGTCTTCTACGACAGCAAAGAAGTCGACGACGACCACGGCGTCTCGTCCAAAGGACCTAGATGCTCCTAAGAAATCTACGGTCTCTAGCACGGCTCTCAAAACATCAACTCCGAAAGCTGCTTCTAAAGTAACCGCCACCGCTTCCGCGCCAAAGCTAACAGCCAGGACAAGCACCGGCGCTGCGGCCAAATCAAAAGCCACAACAGTCTCAAAAACGACCACCACTGAGAAAAAGGCTACGGCAAACGGCGACGTGAAACCTCTCAGCAAACCAGCCGCGTCCAAACCTCCCAGCAAGACATCATCCGCGACCAAGACCACGCTAGTCAAAGCATCGACCACGCGAACGTCCACTGGAACGACGACATCTAAACCAAGACCCGCTACAGCCACCACAAACACCAAAACTAACACTACTGCCAAATCCTCCACAATGACAACGACCACCGCGAGCAGCGCCAGACCTAAAACAGCGCCATCCGCAGGAAGCACGACGAAGATGACCGCTCGTACGTCCACCTCGAAGGCCCCCATGATCGACAAGCAAGTGAAAGAAACGGCCAACAAACAAATCTCAATGGCACGCACGAGTACCGTCGCTAAGACCCGTCTGTACACCGCCAGCAGCACCACCACAACAGTGAAACGCGCGTCCTCTACAACGAAAACCTCTACGGCAGCATCTCCGATCAAAAAGACCACGACAGTGACAAAAGTGTCCGGTAAAACGTCCACAGGCGCTAAGACGCCAACCGAGAAAGGGAAGGTCCTTCAAAATGGCGTCTCCGAAAAAGTAGAGATCAACACGATCATCGACGACGTACCCAAGAAGGATCTCTCTCCTGTAATCGCTCCGAACGACAACCAACTGATCATGAGCTCTGATTGAATGATCGGCGATAACCGGGGTCGGGTTCGATCTTTAGTTTTTATGTCGCTCGCCGATTAAAATAAAAAAAGTCATTCTTCGCGAAATAGGAGCATGTGGATCCACTAAGAAGTAGTTGATTAGGGATTATATAACAAACCGGAAGAAATTTTTACTATAATTAGCGTAAACTATGAAATATAATATATTAATGTGTATATGTACCAGTTAAAAGTAACGAATCCGTTTATATCTGTATTGGCGGGATGCGAGAGTGAGTGGTTAGAACGAATGGTTGCGAGTGAATAAGAGGGAGAGAATGCACGCGTAAGAAAGAACATAACCTAAAAAACAAAAACAAAATATATATACTATATCGCTTTTTGACTGCTTCGGTCGTCTGGAAATATAAATCGTGTCTCGCTGGAAGAAGGAAGTTGGAGGACGAAAGACAGGAAGAGAGGAAAAGAATATCGAAGATTGTTTCTGTAAATAAATTGGACGCGCGTTTCCAAGTGGTCTCCAAGATTCGGGAGATGTCCAGGTGGTGCTGTTAACTGGCCTGTTAAAACAACAGAAGTTGAGCAAAAGAAGCAGGTCCAACGAGAAGCCGGAAGATAGAAGAAAAAAAAAAGATAATAATTCAGGTTCCAGAGGGAGATGCGTTGACCGTGCGAGTCGATTTCTTAATATTAATTCTTAAACGTAAAACACACGAAGCTGGACGGTCTTTTTATACTTTTTAATTTTATATGTGCATTATATTTGATAATGATTAATCGCCGTACGTTTTATGGAGCAGAACTTACAACACACAAACACGAACACATACACACGTACCTACGGTGACAAGGAGGACACGAACACTTCCACACATGCGAATGATAAGTACCATATATATTTATTTTTTCTTTTTTGTTTGTTCCTATTCCGAAGTTGAGTATACTGCGAGAGAATATTAAAAAGAAACTCGACATTAATTGATACCATTCTTATGTATTCTCTATTCATCTATGTACAGCACTTTTATGAGTTAATGTGATACAATATTATATTAAATAAAGTTCGAACAAGTACGAAATAAACAACTTATATCTGTACGAGAGAAAGAGAGAGATAAAAATCACTGGATCGAAATGATTAAAAGGCAGATAGATTATCGGAGAGAAAGGAACCGGAATTGGAGGGAGGAAGTAGATTTCCCCCTTGTAGGATCATTTCGTTTGCCAGTTTTTTAAAATGTGACTGATTTTTAAACTCCGACAACAAATATTCGATCTTTACTGCTAACTAAACGATACGAATAAAGAAACTGAGAGTTTATAAATAATTGTGACCAAACCACAGTTTACTACCAAAAAGAAATGAAAAAAGAAAAGACAAAAAAAAATGTCAACTGCATAATAGAACACCTAATATCGAATCTTTTTTTTATTCTTCATTTTAACATTGTGCATATTAATAAAAAGTTTTAGTCTTTGTTTCTAAATACAGAAAAGTACTTAGTTTTGTATACGCATCCAATGATTTATTATCGTTTATATTTAATAATTTATAACGCAAGAGCCTTTTATATGATGCTATTTAAAATTTATATTTTAGAAAATCGACAAGATAAAAGAACAATTGATAAGCTTAAAAACATTCGAACGAATCTAATAATCGAATTATACATTTGTTGCGTTATTATTAGCTTCTTAAATAAATACTAATAATAAATACTAAGTGATGACTCAGTTCATTGTACCCGATATTCAGTATAGTTGAAGTTCTTATAAACGATGATAATGAAAGATAAAAAGATTAGCTGTAGTTGTAAAAAAAATTTTTATTTTTAATTAATATAGGAAGAAGATACTAATTGTTTATCTAATTGCTTTCATGTTTAAAGCCTCTTGTATGTACGTGTTGCCTTGATGTCGTTTTTAGTCGTAGACAAGTGCTGAAAAATAAAAATCATTAGATTAATAATTTTCAAAATTTAGTTTTGGTAGAAGTTCATGAAGATACTAAAATAATTTTAGAACTCTTTTAATCCAATTTTTTTATTAATTGTACTTACAACTTTCATTCCAGAGTCTGTGAATTCGTAGGCGCGCATAATTTTGGTGCCATCACCAGCATCTGTTGTCACTTTGAAAGTGTTGCCTTCCAACACAGCTACACTCTACAAACAAGTAATATAAATTTCAATTACCGCTCCACAGTTAACAAGATTATCAACAGAAGGAAATTACCATCATAAAACAAGATTTCAAAGTTCAAATTATAATTTCCTATTCACTGTTTCAGAATTTGTAAGTAGATTGATATTTTAATTTCAAAAATTTTCAAACTTAAAATACATGACTGATTATCACCGAGGGCATACACCCAAAAATTATCAGAGTATCTTATCACTGATCTGTTAACCGGCTGGTTTTTGAAAGGAAAATGATTTCCTTTTTGTATTTGTAATAAAAAAATAAACATACATAAATTAATTTTGTTTGCAACAAATGTAGATGAAAAATCTTTTGAGATGATGAGTTAACAAATTAACATTATTCGATATTCGAAAGTTCAGCTTACTATGCTATAAATTACAATATACTGCAGGCAAAATGAAGTCAATTGCCCTTGGGGCTACCACTATAATCAGCCCCTCGAGTTCAATGACCGAGCTACAACCAACTATAAAATCATGATCGAGAAAATTGGTAATAAGGAAAACCTTAGTAAATTTCAAATTAATTTGGGATAGATGATGATAATTTTTTTCTTAAAATTACTTGGACATCTGTAGTAGAGATTACAAATACGTTTATTTTAAATACCGATATATTATCCCGCCAAATGTTATTGAAATCAGAAAGGACCACGCCTTAGGTTATCCTTATAAAAACCGCGCGAATTTCAAATTTCATTTAGCGAACGTTAAACCAACCTGGAATTTGCGATCGAAAGCGGGTAATTTTTCCTCGAAGGGTTCGTTCAGTTTGAACGAAGACGTGCTAGTCTTGTTATCAGACATAACAACGATATTCCATTGATCACCGTTGTTCGTGATTTCAACAAGTGGTTTCGATTGTAGTATCGGTCCAGACAAATCAGGATGGCCAGAGGCTTTCAAGAACTCTTCGAAGTTCTCGTTGGAGACGTGTTGGTACTTTCCTACGATCTGCACCATCTTCGAGTTAGGTATTCTTCTGTGCACACGAATGAACAAAATTCGACACGTTTAACGTAGCTGTTGCTAACGGCAAGTTACTGGTCCCCGACTATGCAGCGGCTTTTATAAGATCATCGGGGAGTACTTGTGCGTAATACGTGTATGTGTATGTGTTCACACACCCGCATCGAACAATCTATGATCGGTCCGAACAAGTGTCGAACGGATTATCGTCAACCGGCCGGCTGGTCAACGGTGCCACGATTTCGCTTTATCATTTTACTAACATCGTCTCGCTTCTTTAGTCCACCTGTAAAGAGCTAGATTACTGTAAGAAGAAAATTTGAATTTAAAAACGATTGATTTTACGATTGTAGGTTATATTTCCTATCGTAATCGGTAGGGAATAGGAATTATCTACATATTTAATCGAATGAGTACTTCTTTCAAATAAGTACCAAGTCATGTTTATGTACTCAGATTCCCGAATTTGAAGAGATGATAAATGTGTTTAGTCAGTATTTCGTTGTAAAGCGAAAATGACTTGTCATTGACACGTAACGTGGAACCTCATACATTTGCCGTTCCATCGAACCCTCATAAAAAAGCACGCTCGTTACACGATATGTCGATTGTAATTCTAATTCAAATAACTACTTTAACTAGACAATTAACGTTGCACATTAGCAAATTGGACCAACGAGTTGTGATTGATGATTTAGATTGTATGGAACGGAGAAAGACGGAAGCAAGCCGGTATTTCATTCTTTCTCTCAAATTTTGAAAGGATCGACCCGGATATCTTTTCATACACATTTTGTATTAATTAATGATCGAACCCGATTTCGTGTGATCATTATATAACTTCAAATGGCGAATTGGTGGTTGGACAAAATAAAGTGATTTTTTCAGATAACCTTAAAGGACCGATTGTGAATCAACGTGCACTTTATTCCAGTTAGTTTATTCCCCACAATAACGTGATGTCTGTGATTTTAATAAAGCGCGTAGGAGAGGCGAGTATTGGTATGTATATGAATTCAAGTCAACGCGCGCGCTTAATCGTCAACCATGGCCTGCGTTGCTGAGCTACATTCAATGCGCTCGTCGAGTTATTTATTGCATCGGTGCACCGATTCTAATGCACTTTTCTCGTAAGCATATTTCAGAACATGAAATTTTTACTATTCCATAGATAAATTGTATTTTGGAAAATGAAAATTTCACGGCTTACAGTACAAAAGCCGTTAAATATGAATTTATGAGCTAATTATAATTTTCAGATATTTTTTATCAATAATTTCTCAGGTTTTGTTTTATAGAAATAGTACATGAAGACATAAATAATTTTTGTCTTTCTTTTTATACATAAATATTATATAATTTTTGACTCAATTTGAAATTTAATACTAATAATTAGTGGACATATTTATTTCTCAAAAAGCAAATCTTAAGCAGATTGTTAAAAATTTATTATCGCGATATCTTTATCGATTCCAAAATTGTTATTCCAAAGATCATTTTTTAATAACCCTACCTCTATCTGATAGGAACTTTAGATAGGAACCAACATGTTCGTAATAACCAGCTGACCTTGATGATCATAATCATGCTAATCACGATCCTATCGAATTATCGTAGTGAACTTTGTTACATATCAGTTTTATCTGTCTTATCGATTAGGCCGGTGCAAAATTTTATCGTACCTGTTAGCTGTAACGAAACGTTTCAAGATGTTTTACATTAACTTTTAGCGATGAAAGAAAACAACATTTGCATATCTGTTACGCAATGTATATAGATGTAAATTTTGGTTCTAAATTTACACCGTCAATGTCACTTGATTTTCTGTACCATTCATTTATCTCTGTCAAATTGTGAATCAATTTTAGTAAGGAAAATCCAGGGATTGTTGAAAGGAACGGTGATAGAATTTATCAACGATCAGGGATCAGTTTTCTCTTTCTTCTTGAGGGATGATTGCCACTCGAGACTTAGGGCTCGGGGTTTCGTAGACATAAGCACGGCCTTGAATTGACAGCTAATTGTCAGTGATGACCATACATCAAAGGCCTAGACGATCGGAGGTCACGTGATCTTCCGTTTCATATGGGATGAATGAGCTTATTCCCATTAAAGAACAGGCCACAGTCGGCCAGTGTACACACAAACGCATGCACTTACTACCTTTCGCAGTACTCAACGGTCAATTGAACTTGTTGTAAGTGCTTTCTTCTGTTCATCGGTGCAAATCACACGATCGATCATCAACCGCATCCTGAGGTAGGTTTATGGTATACAGGATGACCCATTCAATATAACCGGCCCGAATATTTTCGTAAAAATATTATGGATTCAAAAAACTTTTTTAGCTAGGATACTGTCTGTGGAATAGGATAGATCAAAAATTCAATGCCTAGAAATACATTATTAAATTAACCAAAGATTTATGAACAAGATTTCTTTCACAAATCATTAAAAGAAAAAGCAAAGGCTACGTGAAATGAAATTTAGAAACATATTCAAAATTTCTATCAAGTTTAACAGCTGTAAGTTAAACGCATAGAAGTCTGCATTTTTATTAAAAGATAATATTTTTAAAATTTACAAGTTCACTGACACTCCACCATTCTTAGAAAAGCGAAATAGGGAGATTCGCCATTCGAAATTTACTCCTGATATCAGGATCACCGAATATACGAAGAGCTGGCACGATTTCTAGGAAGGCAGCGTAGGGGAAAGTATCGGGATCACAGAATATGCGAAGAAGTGGTCCAATTTTGAGAAAGGCAGAGTAGGGGAATTTACGGTTCGAAATTTATTCCTGGTATCAGGATTAAAGAATATGCGAAGAGGTGGCCCGATCTTTAGAAAGGTAGAGTAAGGGAATTTACGGTTCGAAAAGAATTTATGTCTGCATGCAAACCTAATCTCGTCTTGGGGTGTCTGAGACCCCTTAAATCATGACCTCTCGAAAACAAAGGCATAATAATGTTCAGTCTTTTGTATCTGTAGACCCTGCTGATAGCAGGAGAACATGAAAGTGGTGGAGGTATGTATTTTTTGCCATCACACCCTAATACTTTTTTCACGTAGGAATAAATGGAGGAATCGATCTGTGCCACAATAAATATGCATTTTCGTTTGAAAAAATGATGCAATTGTTAATTGCACATGCACTGTTCGTACTTAAAAAAATCTAAGGGCCTACAGATGTAACGCTCTTCGAGCCATTTATCTTTCTGCTTTGTAATCTTTTCGTAAATGCATTAATAACGGAGTTATGACCTGAAACAATTCCCAAACGGGGAAGTTTTGAGCCCCTTTTATAGGGTGGACCGCGCAATTCGGTCGGCGCTGCTATACAATCAGCGGGAAAAATTAAATTCAGTTTAGAATTCTCGTTTGTAATTTTAATGCTGGAGCCATTTCTGCGTCTAATGTAATGCTTATTGTGATAGTTAACGCATCATTTAATATTAAACGCGAGTGTAGCTACGGATTAACGTGCTAATCTTATAAAGACATTGCTAATGATGTTAGGCGTTAAACGGTAGCTTACGTGGCGGTCTTTTTTCACACATCAAAGAGTCTTCACGCAGATTGCGTCGCGTTGTTACGATTAATGCATAAATCTAGCCACTTAAAAATGTAAAACTCAGCGGATAATTTTGTCTCGCTTTAATTGACGTATTTATGACCGTTGGACGTTATTTCATAATTCTTATTTAAATAAGAGTATGGATTAGAAGAGATAATAAACAACATTGTAGGACAATAATAACAGATTTACTTCGGTCTTATTTGCGAAAGATTGAAATCACTTTGGTATCTGACGGACTATTGGATTCATTCCCATTTTCGTCTAATTACAATGTACTGAATATAAAGATATATAAACTTTTCACATAAAAATGATTGATAACATAATTAAGATAGTGATTTCGTACATTTTCTAGGGCTTTTAAATTATAAAATTCAGTTATAACATTATTACATGTGCGTATGGCAAAATAATTACATAACACTTAACACTAGAACAACCGGAGTTGGACGTACAGGATAGAAAATAAATTAGAATTACATAATTACTCTTCTTAAAAAACACCTTAATCATTTTTGTTATTTAATATAAGAAATCTGAAATCACGTCGTTTCGACGGATTTAGTTGTTCCAGTGTTAAAATTCGATATAATTTCCTATGAAGTTGCCAGTTTTCTTTAAACATAATAAATATGTGCTTGCAACATATTTACAATACTTGGAATCAAGTTGTAGAAGAAAAGATGACTAAGATCTGTGCAAACCTTTGCGCTAATTCCTAACTTGATCCTATTGTTAACAATTAAATAACTCGTGAATGAACACATTAAATTCGCAACAAAAGTCGTGACTGCACAAATCCCCACCTCTTCTAAGTCTCTAGTTCATCCTTAACTTTAGTAGTTCATTGTACAAAAACATATATAGATATGTTTATTTCGTTAAAGTAATAATAAACAGCTTTAATGAAGTGCAATGACTCAGCTTAAAAACAAAAATGTTCTTTCTATGTACAGAATCAACATAGGTAGCTTCTCATGCGCTAATTTTCACCTAAGATGATTAGAACACTATTATTCTTAAGTACAAGGTATTTATGTGCACAGAATTACATTGCCTACAGTTTACATAGGCAAAATAGTAAAGGAATAAATGCCCCAATAGCTACAAAAACTGGTAACATTACTGAAGAATCGTCGATCGAATAAGGATCCGGAGTTCTAGGGCCACTCGTGTGTCGACTACGCACTGTAGACTCTTCTTCGTCTTCTTGTATATTGTGGTACTCTTCTGGTTCTTGAGGAATTGGACCTAACTGTGGTATATCTGAAAATTATTAAGATCAATTGTAAAATCATATCTAACTTTCCTTTTTTAAACATATAAAAATCTTTATACCTTCTATACTTCCTTTCACAACAGCAATAGCATTTATTTTTGGATTATCTCTGTAGCCCTACAACGAATTAATTAAATATATTTAAAATATAATTGAATCAGTAATCTTGTGTAAGATAGATAAAAGTAATTGTTATAAATACTTTTATAAATTCCACTCTGATTTTTCCTGCTAGGATGTCAGACTCTTCATCATTGTATATTAATTTTCCAGCTTGTACTTTAAATGGAACATATTCATCATGTGCTATACCACGACCAACTCTTTCAAAAATATCTAAGTCAGTAACAACAGTATGATCTCCATTCAATACCACATCAAATACCTAGAAACATATTCAATTAATTTCAACATAGTTTAATACAAAGCTAAAAATATTGTAAGATCTTACCTTCATGTTAGGAGAGTTGAAATAAACTTCACAGAACTTTAATATCATAACATAATCTCCATCTTCATTAATTGGAATATCATAGCCAAAAGTGCTATGATGATATCGCTCAGTCTGATACAATATTTGATCGATAGCATTCACACGTCCAATAATTAACTGCTTGCCATAATCAGATGCTGTTCCAACTTTACCATATAAAGGATCTCGAGCATAGCGAATTCCATAACTGTCAGTGTGTGCTTCTCCTCCAGCATTTATTGCATATATTACTTCCAGACTCTGAAGATTTTGCACGCAACAAGCAAGCAGCAATGTTGATACTGTCAAAAAGTATACTTCCCATGCTGTAATCATTTTTCTTATTGTACAGTAATGCTCAATTTTTTGGAAGTGATCAAGTTCATAACTTGCTGAATTGTTTCCAGCCGGCAAGTTAGATTACAGGTTAAAATACAGAAGCATTTAAAGCTGACAACATGTCGATACTAAATACATATAAAGAAACCTTCATGTCATTCATTGAATTTAATTCCGTGTCGAATGAGATTAAAGGTATTACACTTTACCTCTTTTGTCAACAAATCGCCGCACCGTTTTACAGTGAATTACATGCCTTAAACCATATGTATGTCACCAATAGCCACGTTTATTAATACGTGGCCACTGAATTTATCAGGTTAGGTGAGAACATAAGAAACCACCTTTAACGCAGGCTACACAGAGTATGGTTTCAAACAGATAAAAAGTTATTCTTAAAAGCTATAACTTGAATTAAACTGTAATTCATTTAATCAAAAATAGATTATTTAGTATTTAACATCTAATATAGTCATAGTTTGCTATAAAGTTTTATGAATTCTATATAGGCAACATAGGAGCAGCTTTTAATCATTTTGTTACCGACTGCGGTAAATTGAAATATGTGTTTTATTATTTTATACTATCAAATACTTATTACATACAAAATTACTAAACTAAACAAATAATTGAAATATATACGTATATGTTTTTATTACACAATGCATCTTTTTTCAAAGTAAACTTATCCTTCTTGGATCAGTGCTACATTTATTTGAGGTCACTTATTTCAAGCAATCAGCGTTTTGAAGGAAAACGAAAATAAACGTACATTTCTCTTGTACTTGGTTTCTTCAATGAAACTTTGTAAACATAGCTATTATGTTCAAAATTGTTCTATTTTAAAATTAATTTATATATACCATATAATTTTTAGTTGCAGAGTATTATTAAAGATAAACTATTCGTTAAACGTGAATAAACATAAGAAAAGCCTGTAAAAAATTCATACATAGGTTGTTTATAAACATATAAGGTACTACTTCCAACATTTGTTCTAACTACTGCGCAATACATTTGCTAGTAACGATAAAATGGGGAGTTTTTTATCGATAGACGGATATCCCGAATGGTGCTTTGCAACGTGATGCACAAACACATGTACATACATAAGTGTATGCCTTGACAACGATCAGAAGACTGCTAAAGTTGCACACCTGCCAGTGCTGTCTCCTTTTCTTCAGAAGCCTTACAATGAATACGGTAGAAATAACGTGATCCTTCGAAGATTTAAATATTAATCGAAGAATATTATATAAATGCTGAAGCATGCTCAGATTTTTAGAACTCATGCTGACACTACAAAAGCAAATGACAGACATCTAATGCCGCTCCCATAATAAAGATTGATATTACAATTTTGATAATAGAAAAATTTTATTTTAGAAACTTTTACCAAAATGTTTAAAAATTTCTAACGTTTGATTAGTAGCAATTAATAACTATGTTAGAATATATGTATAATTATATATAGAAACTCGAATGTCTAAAAAAAGTGTTTATTACGATACGCCTCTAACACGTGTTGTTCAAATAATATCATATCATCCTACGTGTATTCTAGGAAACTGATTTCATGATTGATTACATCAAACAAAAGTGTAATTATTCTTCTTTGTAAAGAGAAACTAAGAATGTTACACTGAATATTATTTAACTGTTTATACAAATAAACAGAAGTCATTGAAGAAGAAAGAAGTATTCTAAGTACTTATTTTAAATTCTTCTGTAAAGAAAACATAATCGATCTTGCCTTTGCTGTGAACATACATGGTAGCCAAGATAGGGCATGTTATTTCAAGCAAAATTCATTTCGACCACATTTACATAGAATAATACAGATATACATATATGAGCCTGCAATATGAAATCTGCATTATGACAGCATAAATTCGGTTTAAAAAGTGATAAAGCACGAGTAGAAGTGTTTCGAACGAACACGTACACACACATAATGGGGTATTGAACGGATGTGGTATGACTGTACGAGACTGTACTGGAAGTTTCTACATAGCTCGCGAACTCTACTGCAACGCTTGCCGTCATCGATTACAAGCACTATGCTTTGCCGCATAGGCTGCGTCCTAGAATAAATATTTTTTGCAAAATTCAGCGAGTCTTTCCAACTGATAAAACGATGAAATATATCGTGTTTATCTTGTTGCATACTTGCTTTATTGAATGGATATTGAAATCAAAATAATAAATACATTGTATAAAGAACGATTTCTATATAAATATTATAAAATAGTGACTATTAAGTGGGGTTTATAAGACCTTAGCATCTTTTACTTTTTTTCTTAATTTGACTTGATCAGTTTTTAAATACGTATAACCTATAATCCTACTGTTTCTCATTTTTTTGATTTACTTATAAATTTTTGTACATTTTTATGGGATTCTGTGGTCCTATTATACCATTTACGGGTTAATTCACGATGTTTTCAAGTTATTTGAAGAACGAACAGTTTATACACATTTCATACGTCACAAATGGTGAGCACGTGTGTGTTCGCCATACACACGATGCAGGTCTCAAGGAACTTGTATAAATGAAAATCAACGAATTTTTCCTTTGAAACTTTGTCATCCAACCTCTCAAGGCCCATCCCAGCATTTGTAACAAAACTGTACGTTTTCATTTGGCCACGAAGGAGTATTATAATGTAAATAGCAAACAAAAATTGAATTCGTAAACATATTCTATGTCTAGTTAACCTTTGTATCATACGATATTCATTACCATTTAACGATGAAGTTCAAGTTTACGATTGTAACGTTGCGATATAAAAGGAAATTATAAGTAAAACCACAGTTACCTAGTTTATTTGCTTTTTATTTGGTTATAATCTGTAAAATTGTACGTTTTCAAAAATTGTGCAAATATTTATTTAGCGAAATCCTATATTTTATTAAAAATGTTCGTCATACTTCTGATGATACAGCATCATGATTAATACTAATTTCATAAGCATTTAGCATTAAGTAAATATTCTTTTCGACAGCATTACCCTGGTGAAATAATGGTCTCACACACGTGAAAACTCCAAAGTAAAAAAATGAACTTGTAATCCATAAAGGTTGGAAGAATTATGAGACCTTGAAATCTAAGCAACCTATAACCATGCATGGATGGTAAACTACAAGTTTGCTTGTATGAGTGGTCGCTTACCTTCTAGAATTAGCTACTAGATACTAGATATTTCGCTAACTTTTCTCGTACTCTACTTCCGTATCATCAGCCATTTCAGCAGGAAATCATTTTTCAAAATGATTTTAATGAAGCATTTGGTCATTGAAGAAATATTTCTATAAATCTAAAGTATTTTTCCCCGAACAAAAAGAGTAAAATTTTTAAATATCAGCTATGTATTGAGCAGAGTTGCATCGATCGATAACTGTGTAAAATTGTACCGTTGATGCACGTAGTTCCTGCCACGTGACCAATGAGCGCGAAGAATTGGCCAATTCTGCACTCTGATTGGCCAACGTAAAGTGGCTGAGCGGGAAGAACATTCCAGAAGCGTCCTCTAGGAATGTAATATATATGGGACCGCGAGAGCCGACTCTTCACTAACGTTGCGAATCGTGAACGAAGAACTTCTTCACTATCCTTCAAAGCGAATTTTTACAAGCGAACAAAGAAAGGTGTGTGACCGGCCGTTTGCGTCAGCTCTAATTATATTCTATGCATCATCGTTCATGACAGATTTCACTCGGATATTATGTGCAGAAATTTAATAATCTTTCATATTTTTACAGAAAAGCAAAGATGGCCAAAGCACCCGCAGTTGGTATTGATCTAGGCACCACTTACTCCTGTGTTGGAGTATTCCAGCATGGAAAGGTGGAAATCATCGCCAACGATCAAGGAAATCGTACAACACCCAGCTATGTTGCATTTACAGACACCGAACGGTTAATCGGTGATGCTGCCAAAAATCAAGTCGCCATGAACCCCAACAACACCATCTTCGGTAAATATCTTAGAAATATTCATAGCTGATTTTTCGTGTTATAGTATTAGTTTCTTTTTTGCAAATAAATAGAATTATTGATTTTAGAGGTTCGTAATAAATTTGATTAAATATTTTAATGAACATTTAAACACGTATTTCGTTCGCATTATTTAACAGAATTTCGCTGACTTGCATTTTATATGTAGTTTTATGATTTTTAAATTGGGGTTTTACAAACAATTTAAAAATATTTCGGAGATTTGTAAATGGGCGTGGAAAATTTTTAAACATGGTAGATGGCAGGAAGGTCAATATAATGCTGTTCTATATACATATACATATATATGTTAGGTCGAAGCACGCGCACGAGGCAGGTTAAGGTTACAACTGCTAGAGGACGCCATTTTAGTGCCTTATCATGTTATCAACATACGATACAAAGCTCCGAACTAGATTCCATTTTTATCCTCAATTTCTATTACCTTCGTCGGTTAAGAATTAAGGATTATTTTTTAAACGCAAATTTTATTACTTCATTGAAATACATTGCAGCATAGGGAAATGAAAATTATTGTTTTAATAATTCTCTATTGAATATAACTAAACCATTTTTGTTAATTTTTTAGATGCGAAACGCCTTATTGGACGTCGTTTCGAAGACCCCACAGTTCAAGCCGATATGAAACATTGGCCGTTCACCGTAATAAACGATGGTGGCAAGCCTAAGATTCAAGTACATTACAAAGGAGAGACGAAGACTTTCTTCCCTGAAGAAGTGAGTTCAATGGTCCTGGTAAAAATGAAGGAAACTGCTGAGGCGTACCTCGGGAAGACCGTCACCAATGCTGTGATCACTGTACCTGCTTACTTCAACGACTCGCAGCGTCAGGCAACCAAGGACGCTGGTACCATCTCGGGCTTGAACGTTTTACGTATCATCAACGAGCCCACCGCTGCTGCCATTGCTTATGGCTTGGATAAGAAAACCACCAATGAGCGCAACGTCCTAATCTTTGATCTTGGCGGTGGCACCTTCGATGTCTCTATCCTGACCATCGAGGATGGCATTTTCGAGGTCAAGTCTACAGCAGGAGACACTCATCTTGGCGGCGAAGACTTCGACAACCGAATGGTGAATCATTTCGTTCTGGAATTCAAACGGAAATACAAAAAAGACCTCACCTCGAACAAGCGTGCCCTTCGTCGTCTAAGAACGGCTTGCGAACGTGCGAAACGCACCTTGTCTTCGTCCACTCAAGCTAGCATCGAGATCGATTCGCTCTATGAGGGAATCGATTTCTATACTTCGATCACCAGGGCTCGTTTCGAAGAGCTCTGCGCTGATCTATTCAGAGGAACGTTAGAGCCAGTGGAGAAATCACTGCGCGATGCTAAGATGGATAAAGCTCAAATTCACGACATCGTATTGGTTGGTGGATCAACACGTATCCCAAAGATTCAGAAACTGCTTCAAGATTTCTTCAACGGAAAGGAGCTGAACAAATCCATTAACCCTGACGAGGCTGTGGCTTACGGAGCCGCCGTGCAAGCTGCAATTCTGCACGGTGACAAATCCGAGGAAGTACAAGATCTTTTGCTTCTCGACGTTACACCTTTGTCTCTTGGTATCGAAACTGCTGGTGGTGTCATGACCGCCCTCATCAAGAGAAATACAACCATTCCAACCAAGCAAACGCAAACCTTCACCACATACGCTGATAACCAACCAGGTGTATTGATCCAAGTATATGAAGGAGAGCGTGCAATGACGAAAGACAACAACCTGTTAGGTAAATTCGAGCTCAGTGGTATTCCACCAGCTCCCCGGGGAGTTCCTCAAATCGAAGTCACATTTGACATTGATGCGAACGGTATCCTGAACGTCTCGGCAGTGGACAAATCGACCGGTAAGGAGAACAAGATCACCATCACCAATGACAAGGGCCGTCTCAGTAAGGAAGACATTGAAAGGATGGTCAACGAAGCTGAGAAGTATCGTAGCGAAGATGAAAAGCAAAAGGAAACAATCGCTGCTAAGAATAGTCTCGAGTCTTACTGCTTCAACATGAAGAGTACAGTGGAAGATGAGAAGCTGAAGGATAAGATCAGCGCTAGTGACAAACAGGTTGTGTTGGACAAATGCAACGACATTATCAAGTGGCTGGACGCCAATCAGCTGGCTGATAAAGAAGAATACGAACACAAGCAGAAAGAATTGGAAGCTATTTGCAACCCTATTGTCACGAAGTTGTATCAAGGAACTGGCGGTATGCCCGGTGGAATGCCTGGTGGCTTCCCAGGTGCAGGTGGTGCTGCTCCAGGTGGCGGTGCTCCTGGTGGTGGCGCATCTGGACCTACCATCGAGGAAGTCGACTAAAATGTGTTCTCGCTTGCCACTGCCTTCTCCATGATCTATCGATTTCATGCAAGGCGAAAATGGCGAGGATTGAAGAACATAGAATTATTACAGCTACGGTCTTTTGTTCCTCAGTATAATTTAACTTATTCTTTTTTAGACGTCCTTTTTCTATGTTAATAATATAAAAATAAACAATTTATTTACTTTACTTCCCAGGTAAACTAGGAGAATAATATGTTTTGTTAAATTATTTTCTACTGATTGAAATATGTGAAAAATATAACTTTAATTGTTGTACTTATATGTGAATGAGATTTTTTGGGTACAAGATCTGCTGTTGATTTTCTATGTTCGAGAACTTCGAAAAAATAAAACAATCCCTTGAAACATACCACTGTCTTAATATATTTCTCCATTTTTAATGCAAATTTAATAGATTTTACTAATTTTGAGATAAATTCAATTATCTATTCATTAGAAATTTTAATTAAAATTGTAGAAAGGTTCGACAATCAATATTAGAAAACTTTCCATGAAATAAAATTTTATTTGCAAGCACAACGGGCCCAATGCTACAGAAAATAATATTTAGTAATTAATAATACAATGATAAGAATTCGGTAGCTGAATAATACACCATTATATAATATTTACGTTTTGTACTAGGACTTGACAAATTTTCTAACATATATCGGAAACAACGTGATAAACAACTCAATTGCGAAACTCGAAAATAAATAAGAACGTAAAGTGCAAGCATTATTAGGAAAAAAAAAATTAAGACATATGTGCCATAGTATTTGCAAATAATAAGGTTGATTTGCCTTTCTTCTTCTTTCTCCCACCTCCGCCGTTCTTTGTTCCTAAAATTAAAATAAAATAAGTAAGATTTCGTTTGGTTCTAAAATTTTTAGGTTTGCCACCGTAAAACTAACCTAGCTTTGTTTGTTCTAAAGCAGCTGCTAAAGCATCGCCGAAACTTCGGCTGTGTGACCGGGCTGAGGTGTAATCTTCGTCCTCAGTTTCTCTCGAACACGACTGACCCGAGTTTGATTTCCCGCGGGTGGAGTTAACCGATGGCCATGCAGCATGCGACTTTAAACGTGTTCCGGTGTTTCGTAACATTTCTGCAAACGATGGTCCCTGTTCTTGTGTGGCTGTAGTTTGACTGCATGCAACAATTTCGTCAAATGTGCTCGAAGATGGACTACTAGCTACACTGGAAGCCGTAGATTCTGGCGGTGATGAAACGCTTTCCCTGCAAATAAATAAATATATTTAAGTTTCACTTCTCTAAATTACATTGCAAGTATTATTAACCGAATTTTTTTCAAGGAAATGTACATACTCCGCGAACAACAATTCTGGCTGCCATTGAGGAAAATGCCGCTGTGAGTCAATGTGTACAATAGGTGTTGGATATTTTCCCATTCGTTTGTTTTCTTCCTCTGTGATTTTCCTCTCTCTTTTCCTTTCCTCGCGTTCTTGTTGTTGTCTGCGTTTATGTCTTAATGCTAACTGACCTATAAAATTAATTACAATAAATTGAATAATATTTCAATAAGAATTTAAATACTTATTGTTTGTAAGAAGTAATTGCCTTGGAATGAAGCCAGGACTTCCTCTGACACAATTGGTGGTCTCAATTCGATTTCGGCTACTTCGAACTGGCAAGTTAATGGCAAATGAGATAAATATCTCAGCCTACGTCTCAGGTCTTCGGTGAGACTTCCTGCTTCTTTTTCCAAGAGTTTCCCCGTTATTTCGTGAGGAGAGTTCTCAAGACTTCCATATTGCATTTCTAGCATCTTTACGTTCATTGCATGCAGATATAAATGTTGTCCATCCTCGGCTAAAATCAAATACATTTAGTATCTAGAACATTCTAGAATAAAGAAATAAATCAAATATTATTTAATTACATACCTTGATAAAAATAAAAGAACTTTTGTATCCCTGATGTAGATTGAACACTGTTAAGTAAACTTTCTGCAGGTTTTGTTGATTCTTCAACCATACTTTTTGCATCCTTCTTTGTTAAATCATTCGTTTCTTCACAACTTTGCGATTTCTGTTGATTATCAATGTCATTGCTCTCTGCTTGTTCTGTTACATTTGTATCCACAGAAGCGCCTTCGGGTTCCGGTTTTACCTGTAAAGAACGTTTTTATCAACAAAAAAATTCAATCTACAAAACGGATTGGGAATCAAGATGTTATATTTTCATTAACATTACCTTTTGCAACAATTCTTCTTCTCTTTTTGAAAGCTCATCAAGGGCTTGTTCGATGTAACAATTTTCTGGTGAATCAGGATTATCTAACAATTCAACTTTTAATTGAACACGTTCACATTCAATGATGTTCATAACCTGAATAATTACAATTATAAATATCAATTCTTTTATATCACAGAATTTCAGTATGTATATACTTACATCTTCTGTGTTTGCAAGGAGTAGTTTTGAATACACCCGACTGCTAATAGTTTCTGAAAGTGGGAAAAAATTTGTTGGGCTTTGAGCTACAGATCCAACGGGCACTGCGAGCAGTGATCCTTTTTCACGACGCATCAAACGTAAAGTAATGCTATCTCCTAAATTTAATGTGCTCTGAGGAACTTCCGTGACACTACGATCAAAAAATGAATATTAACATCTATCGCATAATGTATATATAGTATCGAGCAGAGAGGGCTTTCTTGAGGAAAATTACGTTACAGGGGGAGCAAAAGTTCTCAAAACCTTAATTTTGACATTAATAATAAAAAAAATAATTTTCAATTATTAAATATTATAGAACTTAATATGTAATTAAGAAATATATTTGTAGGGACTCTTCTACATCGTCATTTTCCTCGGGACCACCTACGAAGAAGGGCGGAAGTTTGGAGGAAAGGTTTAGGAACCTCGGCACCCTAACCACGCTCGGTACTGTACAATTTGTTTTTGCATTATTAAAATCAATTACCTTTTTAAATCAGATTTTTGAATAGATTCGTAACAAATAGGGCATTTACGCCAGGATTTATCAGAAAGCGACAAATAATGAAGAATACAAGACCAGCAGAAAACATGACCGCAACGTGTCATCTTTCCCGCGACCGGTGAGTATAAACATATTGGGCATGATAAGTTCTCGGAGCTATGAATTTTCTAAAACATAAAAAGTATATTATAAATTAACTTGAAAAATCTTTATCAATTACACTTATAACTTACAATTTGTTCTACTAGTTTCCAATCAACTAGTACGTCAGGATCGATCAGATGCAATGAATAATTCCTATTTGCAGTTACAACAAACTGGCAGCTAAAAAACAATAACATATAATTTCGAACAAGTTTTCAATTTATAAACTTTATTAAGTATATTTTATTTACAAACCTGGCTTGCAGAAATTGTTCTTTGTTATATTTATGTCGCTGTACTGGTGGAAGCCATCTATTACTGTTGCGAGAGTAACCCTTCACTGATTTTCCGTGACTCCATCCACCTGAACCACTTTGCATCTCGCGTGGTTCATAATGAAAATTCAGCAGATAATTCAAGTTCTGCTTTTTACTTCCTTGGACCACTACTGAGCCTGGCTCAGCTATATCTGTTTCCACTACCTACAATACATTTTAAATCTTCAAATAACATTTAATGCAAATAATTAATATTAATTTAATTGAGCAGAAGCATTAACCTTGGTATCCTCCTTTGAACTGCCATGATATTGTCCTTTAGGTTTTGGTCTCTTATCAAAACTTTTTCCTTTTTGTTGCACATTGTACTTCTTTGGTTGTTCAAATCTCGAGTAACTGCTAGCACCAGTTGGTTCACGTCGTCTCGAAGTCCTTGGAAAAAGTTTGTTGTTTGTAATATCTGCACAAGTAATCATTTTTTAATTTTAATAAACATTTTTTAATGGTATCACTTATTTTACAGAAGCATGTTTAATGACTTTCAACTTGAGGAATGACCTCGCGCTAATGTAAAACATTTTACGTATTACTATAGTTCTATTCGTGTCTATACAAACCTTATCAAGGATAAATGACATAATTAAAAAATTGAATACATAAAATCTTTAAGAAAAATGAAAGCATCAAAACCTGAAATAAATGCTGTAAGAAATAAAACTTGGTTTTTTGCACAAGGTGCGCATTTAAGACGTCAGCGAAATGACGTCGTTATCGCGACGATCAACATTCACACAACGCACCTTGATTTTTCTTAGCATCAGCAGACACCCCCTTTGCGGAGGACTGCGTATATTTCGCGTTTTTTTCCATTTCTGGCACGAATACGTTCGTGCTGATTTCCAGAGTGGTTGAGGCTACGGTTTCCTCCGTATGGAGAAACAGTATATTTCTGCAGGCCCTTCATCTTCTTCAATAAGCCATGTTTCGTTATCGTCAAAGATGGAAAAACAGATCCTCGAATTGTCGATGATCCACAGTCAATCTGACGGTAGAACGATGTCCACGGATACTTCTCTACCAGAGCAGAAGCTCTGCCTCTCTTTTCGCCGTAAACGACGATTACCCTCGGTTTCCTGGCTCTGCGGCCAAAGCGGTCGCGATCTCGTCGCTATGATGGCGACGAACTAATGATTTGCGCAACCGGAAGTAACACACGGCACGTCACTACTCTAGTGAGTTGGACACTTAAAATGATAATCCGGTATTTTAACGATGCTTTCAAGTATTTCTTACTGATATAGATATATATTAAATATAATATATATATAACTGATATAACGAAATATACCTTGTTCCAATAGTACATTTTTAGGCAGTTGAAATGTGACCAGTTTCTGTTGTTTAACATTACTTGCGTTAATTGATTCAAAATAATAATAGATGCTGTAAACTAATTTCATTATTTTAAATAGTGAATGAAAATAACTTAAGGCATATCCCTAACGAGCATGCGACTTTGAAATATCTGTGGAAGATGTCGCTATATGTTACATCACATGTTTGATAATAACAAGATAAAAGATTCAAATATCTGATTTCTTTTCTTAATTTAACTACAATAAAATTGTCGTTTCTGGTAAAGAAAAATATCTAAATATGATATCCATATATAATAATTACAATGAAAGTTAATTAGAAAGGAGAAAGATTTAAGGTTATACAACGTAATATAGTAAAGAATAGGTGTTCGGATAAAATACACACAAAGGTGAATAAAAATCGCTAAGCTTCGTTTTGCGATAATAGATCTATCATTTAATACCTCAAAGCTATTTTAAAAATAACTTATTTGAAATTCAAAACAATGATGCGCGCGCCTTTTTATCGTGCGCATGTGTCGAGGTCATATGATCTTCGGTCGTATATACGTCCCGCCATCAGCAAAGTTCCTCACTCATTCTTTCGAACCTTTGCGACGCGGTTCTGTTTTCGAATTGATACCGATTTCCTGATGACATTCCATTGTGATTGATGTGCAATTGGTTCGGAAATTTGTCTGCAGAGGGACCGACCGTTCGCTTTTGCGACGGCAGTTCTCGCAGACTGCCTCCCAAGTAACTGGAAAAGCGCGCGTAAATAAGACGTCTTAACGATTCCTTTCGCGAACGAGGCTCTTGCTAATCCTTGGGATTAGTTATCCTCGTAACAAGGTTTTTCTTTCCACAAGGAAAATTTCGTCGACGGTCAGTGACGCGGGAATGGGTTTGACGGATACCAGTTTCGAAGTACTTTTGACCCTGTGGCGGGTTCTCGTCGTAGGAGTCGTGTGGACCGAAGAGATCCACGATCAGTGTCGTGGTGTCTTGCCGAGCCACAGCATCGCCGGTTTCGTTTGTTAATTGTTTTGGCCACGTTCTTTGGTAAGTAATCGCATAATTATACTTTCTATAAGCTTAAAATTAATAATTTAGCGATTTAAGTTATTTTCACTTTTATTGACTTCCATTATTTATTTAATCATTGGTTATGTGAATATGGAAGTTCTGAAGGGTGGAACAATTAATATAAAAAGTAATTTAATTTTTATTTTGAAAACTTGAAAATTGTAACAGTGTATGTGACAAAATATTGTTTTTAAATGATTTTAATTCAATATTAAGATATGTCTGTTAAACCGGAAGAAGGTCACAAATCCTCGAGAACCATGTTCTACAGGTGTTTACGTAAATAAATCAAAACCCTTATCACTGCAATTTCTTTAATGTTTAGAATGAACTATTATTATCAAAGAAATTAAGCTTCAATGATTAAAAAATGAATAATTTAATAAAAATATTTAAAAAATTGAATTTTTTGAGGAACATCTCGAGATAATGAAATTGAAATAATGCATATATAGCAAGTTCAATATTATTTATTTGCATAGCATTTGTAAATTCTTTAATTTCTCAGGGTCGTTTGCGGTTTGATTATTAATCTATCTCGTGTTTCTATTTCTAATTCATTTTTAATATGAATCTTTCAAACGATTCATCTTAGTAACGTGATTCTCGGAAAATACATACATTATCATTACAATCCTTCTACGTAGCAACGATTTTTCCTTGATAGAAACTCGAAAAACCATACTTATTGTTAAGTAGTCGCATTGTTAGCGATCTAGAGAGCATTAAGTTCGCATATTTTAAAAAACAATTAAAAGAAAATGCCAACTAATATTCATTATCACGGAGTTGAGATCATAAGTTAGGATTATGAATTAAGATCGTAAATTATGTTCTTACATTGTAGCATGGTTTTTCACAATTTTCTCCCTTTTATTCTTTTCAATTCAAGAGTTGGCCATTTACTACCCTTATATTTTTAAATAAATCTTCTTGACTCTGCACCTGAGTATTCTTTAACAATAATTATTTGATAAAAAATTCCTTGAGAAAATAAATCATCTAGTAACCAATTATTACACAAATATAGTAAAAACCTAAAGGGTACCAAAATATTGCATACTGAAAAGCAATGAATTTATTTCCAAAATTCAGCGAAATGATGTATTTAATAATAGATACGTACATACACGAATGGTAATCCAAGATGAAACATGAGCAATTATTATAATTTAACACCGAAGATCTTGTTTGTTTCCTTGATAATAAAAAATCAAGAAATCCCCTTCCTTACCTTATTTTTCCTCGAATTTGCATTCTTTGTATGCACCTTCCCTCCACCGTTTGTACCTTCTTGATCGCTGGCTATCCTCGGTCATGTCACAGTTTCAATCCTGAGGAACTCGCGACAGTTTCGCATTTTTGTTTCTTCCGAACAAGGCTCTTCCTCGGATGCTGAAACAATCGTGAGCAGGGTATGTGCTTAGAATTGTTTCTCGGACCGTTTTCTATTTCGCAACGCTTGTTCGCGCGTTCGTGATTAATCTAATTGCACTCGAGTGCAGTTTTTACCACGTTGTAACGTTGCACGTACGACAAGGTATCATACTAATGCGACAGGACATTAAGGCAATGCTACTTCTAACGCGTTTTCTATTCTTTCCTAAACACAATTATTTTTAGTATTATTAAACAATTCAATTTGTTTTTAAAGATGGTAAAGGAGAATAAAACATTTAAATTATTTATGTAATTATATTTTAAGCTTCTTCCTTTATTATTACTTTTTTAAAAGATAGTTTTATTAGATTTTAATTTTGTAATTTCGCACTGAATATTTTTTTTCATGTAAAATTGTGACGATTGATTTTCTTTTTTGAAATTTTGTAATTCTGATCAATTTTGTACTTCATCCGACTACCATCTTGCGGAGGGATGTTGTATCGGATTCGTAAACCGCAGAGGGTATCTTGTCTAGATGAGTCGAGAGTTTAACCCTTTAGAGACCAGGCAGCGGGAAATGGATATAAGATAATAGAAAATTCACTATTAACATTCAGTAGTGGTTGAAAAATCTGTACATTGTGTTGCATTTTTTAAATTAAAACTGGTCCTTCTCAGAAAAGTCTGAATAAAAATCTAAAGAGACCAAAATAAAAATAATTTACAATTGAATTTTAAGTATCTATAAATCAACCACAAACTGTTAAAATAAATGAATTTAATTCTATAAGGAAAGGGGTTTTACTGATTGAAATTAACCAAAGGGTGTCATCGACACAAACCCAAACGCATAGACAGAAACTAAGTGAAATGAAATGTCGGAAAGAGGATTTTTTTGCTCTCACCTGTTCGCAAAGTTCCGTATAGTTGTTCGGCAATAACCGCCGAATATCAATTAATCGGGTCGATCCATAGACAAGCGTGGATCAGTGCATGTGACAGAAAACCCCTCGGTCGAGAGTCCCCTCGAAGCCGGTGCCGCGGCCGCCTTTGAAATATACGCTGTTTGTCCGGAACCCGTCACCAGGGCACAATGAGCCTCCGCTCTGGGGGTTAAGCGTTGTCACTTGAAGGGCTATCGATAACTTGTCGTCGCCAAATTACACGCGACCGCGCCCGCACGCGCCTCGAAAACCATCCCTTCTATACCCGCGTCCGGTTTATGGAATAATATTACCTCCGACGTTTTTATCATTCACATTTTTCGATCTTAATAGATCGTAAACTATCGTTACTGCATTATGTGTCCGTAATTACTTCCGACTCACTAAATTGCAAAGAATAAAATACCCATTTTTAATGAAAACTTTGAGAGCACCTTCAAGGTTTTAATTGGAATTTTTTTATTCAAACAATTATTTTATAAAAATTATAACAATTTTAGTTATTTATTCGCTGCCTTATTAGTAGCATTTAAAATCCATAGGAACGTGGAAAAATTTGAAATAAAAAGATGACATTAATAATATAGAGACAGATTCAATGTGATTATTTTTAATAATTTATTGGAAAAGTATTTTTTTATGTAGTGATGTAAAATTATTAAATGATAGAATCTTTGTTGTAAAATGATGTAAAATGAAATTACACTGTTCCATTCAAAACATTGAATTAATTATAATTCTAAAGAAGGAACGTGTTTTCTAGATCTAATTCGACAGACAAGGAATTAGAAATTTTTTAAGGCACTATCGGTTTAGGGGAAAAAAATCCTCTTGGAAGAGAGAAGCCATTACGCTTGTCAGTTCCGCTGTCGGTTCGATGGATCTCGATCTGTTGTACCTGGAGTACCTCCTCTGCTTTCCACAGTGAATGGCGTCAGAAATTTAATAAAATCGAATAATTAACCCATTGGAAGCGTCGGTCTTATTATAATGCCTACTCTACACCTACAATAATCTATACTATAACTTCGTGTAATAACGTACTGTTTTTATTAACATATAAAGTTTTGTTTTTTTTTCTAATTATGAATAATTATAATTTTAGATAGCTCCTCTTATTATTCCTGTACATTTTTTCTGCTTTTCGTACTTTTTCATATAATTATTTTAATTAAAATTAAAAATAATAAAAAAATACTTCAGAATATTAAAAAAATTCAGTAACATCATTTTGCAAAATTGAAACAGACAAGTTAGACTAATTAATGGTTTTGTTGCAGGGAAACGAGACATGTCGTCGAGGGTGGTGAAGAATCCTCCAAAAATGAACGGAAGCGTGGACGGCAGGGAGACCTGGTCCGGCAAAGTTGACTTCCTTTTGTCAGTGATCGGATTCGCTGTTGATCTTGCAAATGTCTGGAGATTTCCCTACCTGTGTTA